CATTAACTGTTTCTATTTTTTTGTAGTAAGGTTACTTACTGAAATCACTAGTAATTAAAGGCTAATGTGAGAGGGTCTGCATAGTTTTGTTGATACTGTGTACTCTCTTTACGTAGAATCTTCATTTAATTTGTCAACCGAGAAAAAATAAAATTAGAAAATACCATAGTGATATATTATGTTAATTTTATGTCTCATAAGAAATCCTACTAATATTATATTTTATAAATCCCCTTAAGTGAATATATAGCACCCACCATTTAACACGTAAGTTTAACTGACAAATGTAACGATAATACCTCTTGCTAATGCAATAACCTTTATAGTTCTTGATTCCATGAAGCACTTGCAAAATACATTATTATTGATCTGAATCCAAATAGAAAGAGGTAACATCCGTTCCATTACTTAAAAAATGTCTGGTCTGGGAACTATTTAGGCCTAATTGTAAATTTGCATTGATTAATTTTTGGCTGTTTTGTTATTTTGAATTAACAATTTGCTTTTTTAATTTGCATTGGAATCACTTGTATTTATGTGACACTAGTCTCTAGTGCATCATATCACACGTAATCAATGATAAGTTTAAGCAAACAGTTTGTTTTAAGTCGGATTTTGTTATTGTTTTAACAATAACTGTATTTTTTCATTAACTACGAAAAACAAATACTTTTCTTTGATAAAAAACTTAAACTGTATAGTTTTAAATGCAGCTATGGATTTTAAATTGAAATCTGCAGTGTTAACTGAAACAAGTTAAGTAAAAATAAGGTTTCATTTTGAGATTTTACAGAATTTTTCATGGTTAACTTCTCCTTTCTGGCTGTTAAAAAAAATTTTCATTTATAAAGTAATTTAACTCTTGTTTCGACCTGTAAGTGTTTTCATAACATAATTTCCCAAATATTATTTTAGTCGGTATATGTTTAGTAACTATTAAAAGTACAAACCAATTAAATCTTACTGTATTAATTATACCCCTAACTATATATACTAATATCTGTAAATCCCTAAGAAATGAAATAGCTAACATAAGTTCAATTAAAAACTTACATTTCAAAGTGTTCATGGAATCCTATAAGGACAACATGAAGTTCCGAATAAAAGCAACACCATGCAACATCCAAACATCTACACATCAAAACACAACTCTGTCTGTCACAGTGATAAACTAACACCTGCTGCTTATCAAATGACAAAGCCTTATCATTAAACAATGCTAAGTCTGTAAAACGATAACACACACTTTAGCTTAAGTCGTCTGTAGAACATGTGACTCTTTAAAGTGGCACTTAATTTTTATACAACCTTAATTTTTGGGAGTCTTGGTTGCACTTTCTGCCATTGGATGTTCAGAAATAAGGGGAGCTTGAGGAAATGGCTAGATGTACTTGGTCTTGTATGGTTTGACGTTAATTTTCTCATGAACTCGTTCTGTTACCGTATGACTTCGTCAGCTTTTATTGGGATAGTTCAAAGATAGGGTAGCTCTAGAACAATTTCAATGGGTTCTTCAAGCACCACAAAGAATGGATCTTCTACCATTTTAATATTTTGGACGTTTGAATTTGTATACCCGGGGAAAAATTTAGTCTCAATGCAAGTATTTTTTTCGTGTTTAGATGAGTGTTCTCACTTAAAACCAAGAGATGGATGTAGTGAGGATGGCTCTGATACCCAGCATCCATGATCGATTTTTGTAGATAGAGTTCTTAATACTTTAATTTCAATCAAAAGTGAAGCGTGCTCATAATCAAGTAGCTGATTCACGTTCTTAACATGATTAAAATCCTTTTTGTCGTCACCAGTCGTCAAGGTCTCTCCTTTCACTACACATAAAATGGAGTGAATACTGAGACAAATATATTAATCTGTTCTTTTCATATTACCAGAGTGGGCTTGGCTCTCAAAAACGAAAATTGTTCATCTAGGAATGGAGTATAACATGTCCTAGTCAACAGCATAGTATGCTATTGAAGTTATCTGACCTTCGAGATAGCTTACCTGAAGACGTCAAACCTTTGCTTGTAACGAGGACAGCTAACAATTTAAACTTTATAATTTAAACTTAAAACTTAAAACTTTGAATTTATTTAAACTTTTATTCCGGAAGTCCTAATTGATATTACAGGTGCTACACGGTATTTGACAATATAAATACTTAAGAGCTTTGGAAATTATTATATTGCAAAGAAATTCTGAACGTTTACCGTCCCAGAAAAGACCTAAAGACAACAAAGACCGTAAAGTATATTTTTTTAAGTGGAAATTCGTTAAAATTCTACTGATTAAGCCCCTCCCTATACGGGGATGTGTGGTAAATCCAGAAAAAATAAATAAATGAGCGTTATCATAGATAGCAATAAAAACACATAGACCTCTCCTATTTTTGCGAAGAGAAAATTACTAAAAATCTTTAACGTTTTAAAACAACGATGAAAGCGATACTAGTTTGCATAATCGTTCCATATCACTCTTACACTGGTAAACTTCCGATTCAGGGCTAAATAGCATCTTGCTACCTAGTGAGGAACTAAAAATAATGTTTAAGTACCGAACGACTTTCTTGACAGTACTACTTACCAGCAAACACTTTTTGTTTTTGTTATAAACACATGTATTAATAAAATCCGTCATCATTCATCATTCATACAAATGGTCAACGCTAAGACATTAAATGTCATGTTGAAGATTCATTTCTTACAAACGAGGTAAGGCTTGTGGTATAAAATATGTTTGGAGAGGAAGTGAAAGCCAGTTACAAGTTTCAACATCCATTATGTCACTCTTTGAAACAACTTTATAATTCAGTTCTAAGTCGTTGTCATATTTCATACTCATCATTTGCAATTTTTTTACCAAGTTCAGCAGTAAGAGTAGTTGAAAAGGTAATTCAAAGGAATAGTATTACAGTAGACAGGGTATTATTTGTAAAGAAATTTACAATGTAGTGCAGAGTGTAATATTTCTAAGGTGATTAGAAACTTATGATTTTGCTACATAGGATATATTTTGCTTGAGGAAATATAGTTGTAACTTTTTATTCTTTTGTGAGTAGTTAAACATTGTTACTAATTAAGTGTACATTTAGGCCTATCTATTATTTTTTCTTATGAATAATAGCTAGGATTGGGACTGCTTGATCATTAATGGTAGATTGTATATTTTAAATTATTGAAAAGTAAACATCAATATGTATATATTTTTAAGGCATATTTTTGTCGATGAGCCGATTGAGAAATCTAGTATAGTGTGTTCATACGAATAACTTACTCATTTTTAACGACAAAAAACAAATATATCACCGGAACAGGTTCACAGAAAATGTTTAAGACAATTAATTTTACCCTAAGTTCAGCAAAGACCATTCGGACCGAGATTTACTGCAGGAATGAGAAGTAGGGTTTCATTGATCTTTGGAAAAATACCGAATGTTTGTTAATATATTTAGACATATGGCTATGTGTGTATGGACGAAACCACCTTTTTATTATTTAAACGTTTTAAACAATAGAATGCATAATTCTTCTTCATCTAGTAGTGAAATAGTATAATACTTACAGTTGGGTTAACCCGATCAACTGGGTTTTATTTAAGATCACAGCAAACTTGGATAGTCATGTTTCAAATGTAAACACTTGTACTTGTCAAGTGTATAATCTAGCTACAGTTACTCTGTTGTCTTGGCTGTCAAGTTCAACTTGTTAGCGTAAACTGTATTGGTAGATTTACCAACAGTTCCATTAAAAAATACGTGTCATTAATTAATCCTTGCATTGAAAAATTGCGTCCATAACCTACTACTCCTTTTTTGTTAAAGATAAAACTTAAACATGTATTATTCCAAAATGTACCTTGGGTTGGATTAAGCTGCCTCATAAAATACCCTATATTAGCAGTGCATAAAATAAAATTTATTATTTATTTGTATAGTAAGATGAAAATTTCTTGAAAAAAATTAATTCGTAACTATTAAAGATTAATAAAAGAGCTTCATGTAATAAATAGATATACTGCCAAGTGTTGGTGAATATGTGATTTACAGGAACGTGAAAAAGGTATGATAAATAATAATGTATAAAAATCAGCATATGTATATAATGTTTGTAAAATAAGTTAGGTATTTAATAGTAAAATTCGATGTTTTGTACATAACCACAACATTTGTAAATGACTTCATGTTTTAAGTTTCTCTTCAGGAATGAGACAAGGATTTTTTATTATTCAAACAACATTTCTGTACATAATGAATTATTTAATACCTACCAATTTCGTCTCTATAGGCTTAGCCATAAAGTTCTATTGTTTTAAAACATTCTACTTGAAAACATCTGTATGCTTTCAATGTGAAAACATAGGTTGCTACACCATCTTTCCCTTAGGTGTAACGTATGTGATATATATTTAGGTTATAAAAATAAAAGCATAATAAAAAAACAGGTCGTCAGTACATTCAAGTGTTCGGTCAAATGAAATGGCATAAAACACACAATATTAATAACTTAAAACTAAAAAAATACTACAAACGTTTAAACAAATAAAGTTAAGAACATTACAGCAATCCTGGTTTTGCAAATCATGTTAACTAGTGTTAGAAGAAGTGCGTTATCGTAAAGTAAAAATAATTAATAAAATATTTTATATGAACCAATAGGTAAACATTTTTTTCTTGTCAATTGCCCAATGTTAGACAACGGTACGTAATTATTGGATTGTATTAAAAAAATCAGATAAACCTAGCATATATCAATCGATCTGTTTTTAATATAGTTTAATGCAATATAGTTAGATGGCAATATTACAAATCAATTTATGGAAAATATAATATTTGTATACAAATGGATTTAAGAAATATGTACATTTTGTGAACATTTAAAAAAATCCAACAAATGAATTAGTATATTCTATTTTTTTGTGATTTAACTCTTTACTCCTACAGAACACTAGTTGGTGAGTTTGTTACCAAGTACTCCTTATCAAGTAACACGCAAAACAATTTCTTAACTATTTTAGTTAACGATTTGTCACAAAACTGTCAGCTGATTTATTGGTTCATTCCTCTGAAGACTCTTGACAGATCCATAGATGTAGGATAACGTCCCCCTCCATTTATCTGTGAAGCTGAAGGGTTGATGGTAGACGCCCACTTGCCCTCCAGGGTTGCAGACCCTCCATTGGCCTCCATCCACCCAAACCTCCCCGTGCTTGTATCTGTCTCCTCCGACCCGGCACATACCTGAAGTAAAGGAATTTACATAGAAAAATCATATATAAATGGCAAGTATAATTCTTGAAAACCTTTTTTCTCAGCTTATGTGCATCACAGAGAAAACCTATGCATACTGTTAGAAAGATATTTTCCTGTAGATATTCAGAAACTGTTTATAAATTAAAATAGGTTAAAAAACAAAAAAAAAATGCATACACATGTTTGTAAAGTTAAAATGGGCCTTTTGGGTTGTCATTCTGGTGACGAATTAACATTTAAATATGAACATAAAATAATAAAAAATGCTAGAAATTCCAATCAAATGTTTTATTGCAGCGTGGTGTGAAAATACAGAAGTATGTACATAACCGGTTTTTGGTAAAACTTTTGCCCACTGGATGACCTTTAGTTATAATAAATCCATATATTTAATATGTTAAGGTGATTTCTTGTAAATAATACTCCTCCTGAGTCAGTCTGATGCTCTTTTTATGTAGACGCCTTGTTTAACCAATTTATGTAACATAATTACTTGGGCCCCCCATATGCCTAAAAAACTACAGTGCATTCCTGACGAAGAAGGAGTTATTTACAAAACAGAAGGACTTTTAGTAATAGTTGCATCCTAAAACAGATTATTAACAGTATTAGGACACGTGATTACTTAGTGCTTCCTTGTTGTTGGCTGAATATAAACAAATTACACAATGAGCTGATCGTCAATCCTGAATACAAAACTTAAAGATTTTTGTTTGTGAACACCACTCCTCTCTTATTTTTGAAGAATTTTAAAAGTCCAAGTTCAATATATGTTTACAAAACTAAATTAGTTATAAACAGAGTTTACAATTAAAATTTTCCTAAAGTAATTATACTATGTAAACATTTTTTCATAATTGTGGTTTTAATGGAAATAGTAATGTAAAGTCATAAAAAAGTCAAATCAAATTCAGTTATAAATTTACGTAACTGTTATTTTGCTTTTGTATAGCCTACAAACACAATACCTAACACCTGTATCTAACGTTAAATGCAATCCTTAACTATATTATGTTTAACTTAACTTCCTTAAAAACATGTTATTTTATTATAAAAAAATGTATATTTACACATATCACTTACGTCTGTAACGAAATTCCTCCAGGTAACAGCTTAGTTTTTCTTGAAGAGAGTGAAACCTTGTCCACGCATTGTTAAATACACTATGTAAACTCTTGAAGAAATTCAATTTAAATGAAAGCATACTGTTTTAGACACTAAAGGCGCTTTATTTATAAACAACTAAGTGATAGAAAGTTACATATTACCGTTACTACTCACTGCTAAACAAATCCAAACTGAATGATAAAGTACTCGATAAGATGTCATGTTATCAATACTAGATAAGAGGTCATCGAATATTGAACGACTTTGGGATTTGTTATCGGAATAATTTCTTATGATTCACTAAATTTAAACTATTTACATGCGTGTCTTGCAGAAAGTAAATCTAAAAAATACAGATTTATTTTAATTATTTAGTTTAGTATGAAATATTTATAAAGAAATTTCTAAATGCGATTCGGGTGATAATCAGTACATACACGATATGAAAAACAACAATGATTAGAATCGAATTAGTTTTTATACTTCATTGAACATATTTTTAGTAGTCTAGTTAAGGTCTTCCATATCTCTTTCTACAACTAAGGGTATAATATACCTACTTAACCATACCAAAAAAAAATATATTCATAGATGTTTAGAGTTTGATGAATAAATACTTATTATTTATTTTTGGATTGTAACATGCCAGATGTATAATGAATATGTAACTGCAAAATGAGAAACAGTTACTAAATTGGTATTGAATCACATCTGTTATAACAACACAAATATTCTTACGATCATATCCTTAAATTATAAATACTATTCCCAAAAAATATGCATACAATATCAACATAAAATAAACAATACCCAGACAATATTGTAAAAAAAAATATTTACTTTAACATGCATTTTTATACTAGCAAAACTTCTGTACAAAACATTTGCCTAGTAAGTCACATCATACAAGGAAAATGTAAGAAAATATAATGCAATCATTGTGTATTTTTTCATAATAGTGTGTACAAAAATATTTTATAAGAGAAGTGACTCCAGTTTTTGGCCCCCACACTTATTGGCAATTTTACAAACCATACGGTGACGTAGTTGTAAATTTGCATGTTGATTTAAATAAGATATTCACAATACATCAATTAAGTAAACATTGTCCATTAAAAATCGTAAAGTATTGTTTAACAGTTTGAGTATAAAATAATCACAATATAATTGCAAAAAATAGAAAGATCCTATACATAAGGTCTAAGAGATAGTTTTTTATCCGATAGTGAAGAATTTTTTTTCATAACCGACTTTTTGCACTATCATGACTGTGGTTTTACAAAAAAATATGTTAACCATGTAACGTAACAACAATACACTGTCTGTAGACTTTTGTGCAATTATAATAATGTCCTACCCGATGGGCAAGTACGCATTCACCTTCATACACAAAATATTTAGGTTAAAATTAAAGTAAAACTTTATTTACACGCATAAAACTTATGGTAATTTTTTTCATGAAAACATTTTTATTTTGCTATAACTATACTGTAAAGCTATTTGTAAAAAATGCCTGCAGAAGGAAAGAGTCAAAAGGACATTAAATCCCTCAGGCTGGAGAGGCACGTATTTAATATGTCGTCGACAAAGGCATTTAACTGCGATTATAGGCCGAATATCTTCACACACAACTAAGGCTTGTTAGGCATTTGCTGTCTTCCATGAGTAGGGACTATATAATATATTTTTACTATGATGAATTTTTAAATATTATTTATGACGGTAAACGGAACCCTTGTACATTTTACTGAATCCAAGTAAATAAGACCAATGGAAAACTAATAAGCAATTAAGAAATTTAAACTTTTAAGAAAAATTAACTTCCGGTTCCTTATTTTTTTTATTGTTTTTTTTTATGGTATTAAAGATACTAATGTATAAATTTATAAAATCCCCTTTTGTACGCTTTAAGTTTTTATAGCTCAACGTTTTTGTTTTTTTTTGGGGGGGGGGGGGGTTTGTGATGTAACATATATGTCAATAAAAACTTCAACGTTGCTATTTTACACAACCAGTCAGGTCAAGTTGGGTAGAAAAAAGAGGTTAAGGTTAAATGTTTACCAAAGAATTTGTTTTATTTCACAGAAAACAAGAATACTAGTTATATCACAGCTCGGAAGCTAATGAAATAGATTTCAATTTGTGTCATTATTTTTCGCATGCGGGAAGATTAATACACGTAAACATAACATCATGTTATGTTAAATAAAAACTATGAAAGTGTCGTTTAATATTTTGTATATCTATTTTAAAGAAATGAAAGTTACGCAGAACACTTTTACAATCATAAAAAAAACTAGACGGTGTTAACTAACTATTTCTAAAACTAAAGCACATGCTTGTTTTAATTATTTACATACTGAACAGCAAGGGATATAACATTTACATTGGTTAAAAATAATATCATTTTTACCTAACAGAAAATAAACCTTTTTTATGGATTTACTAACGATTTAAAATATTTAGCTTACAAATCAAGTCAAATCAATTTCACCATATACAAAAATGAAACAAACTGTATGATTAGTTTTAAATTATAATCCAATGATGATTTTAAGATTTTAAAAAGTTAAACATTTTTCAAAGATTACGATGAAAACACAACCAAGAGATTTTTATAAACATCTCAATGATGAATTCTTCTTTCACAGAAGACTAAGTCCAACAAATGTAACACTTTGTTATACAACATCTCTTTGGATTTTAAATATTTTCCCTCCAGGCCGTTTACCATATTACCCACCTCAAGCACATTATTTGACTTTCAATCGTCTTGTTTTCTATTCAAGCATTTTCAAATGTTGTAATTTTAAAATCGTGTTTAAACAGTTGATTTTCGTTAGGTTAGATTATTGTATATTTCATATAATTAAAACTTCTCAACAACAATGCAAGTTACCCATTTAAATATTATTCCTATTTCAAAGTGTCATAGCTTATATGTCCAACTACGAAGTTAATGTTTTATTTAAGCCTTACTATTTTTGACATGTATATAGTTTGAGTATTTGCACGTTTTAAATTATACCTCCTTTGAGAATTTTTACATTTTTATAAGGAATTTGTTATATATATACTACTCTTCCCACCCCCTACCCATTTTGAATTAAAATGTGCATGTTTATTTTTTTGGCCTGTAATTTGAAAGAGTGAATCATCTATTTCCAACCACGATGCATCAAAGCAAATACAAACGATACGCAAAAAATAAATCTTTCTTGGAAAATATTGTTCGATATTTAGGGTAATATTTTGTTATAATTCCACAATAAAAAGTGTTTTGATTCAAGAGACCAGAAGCAGTTGGAGGGTTGGAAGATCTTTATAAGAGCAAATTGCCTCCCCAGGGTGGTACAAAGTGATGGCTAAAAGCGAAGAAGAATTAATCAGGGCTTCTAACTAAGAAGGTCCTCATTCGTTATCTACAGTTTGTAAAAATATACATTTAAGGGTTAATGGAAAATACTTTAAATCTATTTAAATTGATTAAATAGCGTATGTACTAACATAAAATTGGAAGTACTACTATTTGTAAATAATACAAATATTTGTATATATGTACTCTAAATATTAAATTAAATTTTATTCAAGGCTATGGAATTACTCCATCCCTCCAATCGATCCAGCGATAATTTTAACATGTTTCATATAACTCTCGGTTGTAATTCTACACTCTCTCTGTTGCAATAAACAATAAACATTTTCAATCATTATTTTAGTCCGTTCACTTTATTAATTATACCTACTATTATTATTACTTTTATAAAGTGTGATCCAATTTCAGTTTCCTATTTTTGTAACAATGGCAATAGGAGTAATTGGTCACTATCGTATGTTTTTAATAAACCAAAAGTTATTTCACAACACTTTTAAACATCGCTTAGTGTGTACATTTGTTTAAAGTTTTTGTATACAGGGTGTCCATAAAAAACGTTTCAGGACTTTGGGAAATGGATCCCCATACTAGAAGGAAGAAAAAAGTTTATGGGAAGGTATGTCCGAAAATGCATATTTACCCAGATATCCGCCATTTTGTTTTTTATACAAAAATATTTTTATCTGTGAAGTTTTTTATTCGATGATTATGAAACTTGGCAAACATGTTACCATACACAAGACCTAATATAGAAAAAATAATAAAGTTGTTCCGATTGTAAATTTCAAAATGGCGGCCGTTTGAATTTTTCTAACTTTATTAGCTCGAAAACGGCTAATTCTATGAAAAAATGTCAAGAATACTTTTTTTTGCATTTTTAATTGCCTATCAAACAATACCAAGATCAAAAAGATCGGACAAAAGATAACTGAAATATTACGTTTTTTCTGTAAAAATAAGGCAAAAATTAGGGGTTCCCCGACTAACTTTGCCTTATTTTTACAGAAAAAAAACGTAATATTTTAGTTATCTTTTGTCCGATCTTTTTGATCTTGGTATTGTTTGATAGGCAATTAAAAATGCTAAAAAAAGTATCCTTGACATTTTTTCATAAAATTAGCCGTTTTCGAGTTAATAAAGTTAGAAAAATTCAAACGGCCGCCATTTTGAAATTTACAATCGGAACAACTTTATTATTTTTTCTATAATAGGCCTTGTGTATGGTACCATGTTTACCAAGTTTCATAATCATCGAATAAAAAACTTCACATATAAAAATATTTTTGTATAAAAACAAAATGGCGGATATCTGGGTAAATATGCATTTTCGGACATACCTTCCCATAAACTTTTTTCTTCCTTCTAGTATGGGGATCCATATCCCAAAGTCCTGAAACGTTTTTTATGGACACCCTGTATATATTACAAATCCAAAAGAAATGTTTATCGAAATTATAGAGAAGAGAATTGTTAATTAATGTATCCATCTTATTAAACAAACAATTCACCTCTTTGAAAAAATAAAGGAACTTGAAGCATTGGAAGGAGGTAGAATGGCTTGTGCATAATTGCGTGGTACGGTTAGCCAAGAATGTTGATACTTGAGTGATTTTGAAGATCTAAAATTCACAATTTATCGTCTTTCAGACTCTAGGCCATTCGTACGGTGGCCTTTTGTGTATTTTTCACTAGGATTGACATATCAATCTATAAAAAAATTAAACCAAGAAATAAAACATTGAGATTATTAAGTTAAGAATCTATGCAGAATTGGTGTCGGAACAGTATAAAGTGAATGCTGATTTTTAAATTCTAAGAGTATTGCCTTCTCTGATAGGGTATGTTTTAATCTGCTTGGGTATGTAAGGCAAATGAATTGTAAAATATGGGACGATAAATATCCTTACAACATCATTATAAGAAAAAGTAAATTTATTGTACTCATTATGATTAGGTAACCCCCAAAACTTTTCGAAATGTCTTAAAAAAACCTTGAGAAAATAAACTGGTGTAGGAGGTATAGAGGCGGACATTTGACTGGTTAATTATGTCAACGTTAATGAAAAATTTCAAAGATTTTGTTAATAAAATGCTATTTTAGTAAATGTGAATGGGGTTTAATTTTATAAAAATCAAACACTATTTTTTAACATTAAAGTTGGTTTCTATATTATTCAAAGATGTTTATAATTCAAATTCTAACTTTATTATTATTTACAACATAATATTCAACAAACTATATTAAACAAAGATTTGTAAACTATTATTAAAAACAGTCATATATAAACAAATGGTTTGTGTTCGATTCTTTATTAAAAATAGGAAACGAAAATAAGCACACCCTCTACTTATCATAACTATTATACCGTAAACTTATTGTTTAGCCCCTAAAACAATGTAACCAAAATGTATTCTACTAGCGTAATTCCCATATGGGGGAACAGTATATTACGTTACTAGTCATGAAAATAAGTGTTTACCGGACGAGTGTGGTTGTTCCTGTGCGAGACGAAGTCGAGTACGGGATTACCATACGAGTAATCCTTATATCAAACAAATCCTTATATATTTCCACTAACTAAAGGACTAAAAATCACTAGTCATAACCTCTAAGAGAGGTTATGTTTTTGTTTATAACCATTCATTGCCACCTAAATACAGTATAATCAGCTGATTGGTGTCCGGTAAAACTCATTACAGTACAGTAGTACGCAATGAAACCCCATTTGAATAAGCTGGTGGCAAACAGCTGTTATCTGGACTAAATCCTTGCGTGGGAAGCTCGTCAAAATAATGTAGTGTGGCGTAAAAGCTATTACCGCAGGTCTCATGGTAATACCCAGGACCGATGTGTTAAAATATAATTTGTAAGTTAAGGTTTTTTGTGCATCTACAGGGTATTTCCCTTAACTCCGTGGGTATGTTCCTTAGGTCAAAACAAACAAAAAATATCTTACAAACATATGTCTTATGTCGCTTTGTTTTCCGTCTGTCAGTGTGTATGTATTTTTTACAAAACTTCCAATAACCTTGAAACCACTTAAGGTACAAACTTCAAACTTGGTACATGTATGATGGCTAATATTAACTATTTCCTTGCAAAGCATCAAGTTTCTTCTTTGTATGATTTAAAAATGGTATCCATTATTACTTTTCAATGCTTAATAATTCAAAAACCATAGGGTTTATAAAAAAGTTACAAATGTCAAAAAGGTTGGAAGGTTAATTCACTTTACAGAGATGTACAATTTGTATATGGTCATAACACGAAAAACGGAGTATGTTCGTGAACAATCCCAAGTTCATCCTGTCATACACTTAAATATCAGTTATAATTGTATAATTGTTTATCATTGCAAATACCGGTTCTCTGTCTATTTCTTTCAGCTTTATATCTTCATCTGTTCACAGATGTCCCAACAGTTATTTAAGAGATATTTTTTAATGTATATTTGAACGGTTGCTGTAACTTTAATACTTTTCTTTAATACTTTCTTATAAAATGGCGACCATACAAAGTATGGTTTGAAAAATAAAAATGGCCACCAATTTGACATTATACAAAGTAAAAACTTAATGCTTTGCTCAGAAATAGTTAATATTAGCCATCATACATGTACCAAGTTTGACGTTTGTAACTTATGTGGAGGTTATGGGAAGTTATGGTCAAAACACTTACACAATGACCGACGGAAATTGAAGTAATAAAGGACATATGTTTATATGATATTAACCTAAGGAATGCAAGTTGGTCCAGTGTTAGAGTGTAGGGCTTCAGTTTTCAATTTTATGGGTTCAAATCCCGCTAATGACCAATGTATTTTATCCTAACTGATAATGCCACGACCTCCGCTAGACCTAGCCTGGAGGATCGAACAAAATAAAAAAGTAAATATAACCAAAAACACTAACCAACCAAAGGCAAACAAATTGAACGTTAAACATAATTAACCATATACCATATAAAACGGACTTTTGTCATCCAGTACAGTACAGTGCATTGCTTCAAAACTAGATTCATGTATCTCAATTCCAAGGTAACATAATGTCACTTCTGTTAGCAGCTGCCAGCTATGACGCACGTATAAATTACCTCCAGCTGGGGACAATTATTTCAAGGTCTTTAACATGCGCACTAGTCCAACCAGTCTTACGTCTTTTATTATGTTTTAAACTTAATATTTTAGTAACCTTGTTTTTATAAAATAAAAAAATGTGTGTGTGTTTCAAGAAAGCAATGACTTGAGCTCGTAATACACACAATATATTTTATACCACCACATTTAACTTAACATAAAGAGTAGATTAACTATGAAGTTGTATATAAAATGTCATCTAGGTTATGTTTGCGTTTGCTTTTTTTGGATCCGCGGCAGTGGTTGGTTTCAAGACCACTGTGAAATCAGCTAAATAGCGATTGGGAATGATCCATTCCCGATCTAGAGCGGTAATGAGCTATTTTGCGTACTGTTTATGGAAGACTGGGGTAATTACAGTCAAAGGGTACAAATTAAAAGGGGTTTATTAGTTACATACCAATAAACGAGTAACTATATTGGCCATATTTAAACCAGCTGTGTAATAACAAATTTCAACAATAGGTATTTGCTGCATCTCGACTATACTCGCCAACATACATACCCACGCCTATACCCACTATCACGCACCGCGAGCGCTCTTGCCCCCGCCACCTCATGTTTTTGGACTGATTCTGTCAACTGGCTGCAATTAAAATGTATAAAACCCATATATTTTAAAGATTGATGAATACGCCAACCTAAGTTTTACAATTTTTTCCTAACTTGGTTTATATAAAAAAATATTCACTAAATATACGATTCTAGAAACTTTAAAGTAAAGAAAGTTAAATTCAAACTTATATTACACAAATGTGTCCATTTCGCACAAATAATGATTTTATAGAACATATTTTCAGAATGAAATTAAGAAATAAAAATAATATTATTTCTGTTTGTTTCTTAGATATTGATAAAATAAAGAAAAATAAAACATTACACTTGTTGACTTAAAAGTTAGTAAGGGGAAAGCAAGAGGGAGAGTAGCGGGGATTTAAAAAAAATCTTCTTTATTTGATCAAATAACATCCATGGAAAATCAGCCTTTCACTAATTAGTTTCAACAAAGCACTATTTGGTCCTTTATTGTATGGGCTACTTGTAGTGTCGGTTACATGTTGGCCACAGCTATATTTATTTTGTATGTCTTGTCTAGTTCGTGTTAAATTTTTGTATGACCTCAATACCATATTGAACCCTTTTGACAAGGGCCCAAAAAAGTGACATGGTCACCGACATGATCGTTATCTACTAAATGTATGTTAGAATTTTTTATCAACTGCTTTAAAAATATTTAATGAATAGTTTTGCACAGTTTTTTCATGCTCCCTCCATCACACCATATTTTTTAACATAACGTATATAATTTGTGTCTTTAGCTTTAAATGCACATATACATCATCGGTAAACATTAAAACACCATTAATATCATCGTATGATGTGCCATGCAAGCAATTAAGGGTTATATTTACGTCAGTCACACAACAAGTGTTCAACTAAAGTTCACCAAAATAAATTTGGGTGTTCTTAGTCTTCTTCAGGTTCTCGAAATGACTGCTTCAGTTTGGAGCACAATTTTCTTACTGGTAAGTTACAATTAATTGTTTATGTAGTATAAATAGTTTATTAGCAAGAAAAAATATATTACAAATAAAGGAATTAAACTTAACCGTTGGTATTAGTTTACTAAAAACTGAATTTAAATTACAAGGTACCATAAAACAAGGCTGTATAGATTATTATTTAACCCTCTGATAATGTAACCTAATCGAATGTTCGTTATCGGTATGATAATTGGTTAATACAGTTCTCTTTAGCTCTTGTTCCTAATAATTGATGAAAAATTAATGTTTCAAATTTATTTTAAATTTTCACGATTATAATTTAAAAGAGAATGTTTTGCATTCTCGTTTCTCCAAGCCTTGATTCTTTACAACTTTCTGTTTTATATTGTGTTGTTTGTGCATTAATTTTTTTGCGCTTCTCTCCGTAACACTTTGTAATATAATTGAAGATCGATCCTGATTTTTCATAGTAGGGACCGTACTTTATAATCTAATTTGAAGTCCTGTAGTGAGATTATGTGACCAACATATTACAGACCAACAGTTTTGACATAACTTATGGGACTTCTGATTTATTTTTCTATTGATTTTTAATGCCGGTCCTTCTAATTACTTAAGTTTTCGTTGCTATTCTAACATTTTGTTATATTCTTGCTTTAGTTTTTTGACTAAATTGTTCGTTTTTTCAAGGAGCATGAAATAGTTTTTCTATGTGTTTTTCTTTCTATATCTCTTAAGCATGAATTAATTCATGCAAATTATCTTTAACTTATGTTTTTTTTAAGAAACTTTTTGATGTGTTTTTTAATCACTTTGATTTTTACCCAAATGTGTTCTCAAATTTTTACCTCTCAAGCTTTTAGATACTGGTCGAGGACGTCATGCAAAAATAGCTTTGACTAAACAAAGGTTTGTTAATTAATTGTAGGCACTTAAGACAAGTGAAATATATGAGTTAGAGATTGTGGATTAAATGAACGATGGAATGTAGTTAAACTTGTTAAAAAGTGTAAAAATTACTGCTGAACTATTTATATAACACGTAGGAAAATAAATTATTGATTTAGAGTAGTGACAAATGGCGTTGTAGGGAACCTCCTTACCAAAAGTATCATCCCAAGGTATGTCTGGGACAGTTAAGGTATACTTCTAATGTTGCCAGAGCTTTCGTTAATTGACAGCTGTTTTTATTCCCACCGTTATTTTCTAACATATTGCTGTATGTTGTGTTTTTGTAGTCAAAGTCCAGTAAGTGTAATTATCTTTCAAATTGAGGTTTGGTGTATAAGTTATGTGCTTGACTAACCCAACAGATATGGTAACTGTTTATGTGTTTTCAGCTCCTTCCGATTGTTTGCAATGCTGCAAGTAAGTATTTATAATCGAACACTATTACGCTTTGATTAGAGAAGCTTAAACCCATTGACTTTTCAGGGGGGAGATTGCGGTGCTTAAAATGGGAGAAATATATTTTTTTTCAAATTTATCATTTTATTTTTTGTTATTATTAATTTGTGACTAAAACATAAAAACATACAATAAAACCTTTTGTTCCCATCTGAAATATTTTTTTTATGCATAATTTTAGCTTACACTAATTATGCATGCGACTGCTCGGCATTCAAACTGATATCCACTTTAGGAGTGTATTGCATTATTATTCACACTGAAAATATAAATCATATTTAATAAAATATTTAAAATATAAATAATATATATTTAAATATTTAAAATATATATTTAAATATTTAAAATATATATAAAATATTATTGAATAAAATATTTTAATAAATTAAAAAAAAAAATTCTTTTGCACACTCTCCCCTCAAACGTATTCATGCAATAAACCAAATACTTTACAGTTTTGATCTTGAATGATAACAATTTATAACAATATTTCTAGTATTTTATGTAACAAGTTTTTAGGTTTAAATAGGTGGAAAATGCATCAGCTTAACATAAAACAGCTCATAGAAGAATTACACAATATTTCTCAAACACAATCAAACACAAAACATATTGATACAAAAAAATATAGGTTTATGAAGCTTTGCAGTTAAACCTCGTTTGTACGAACCTCGATAAAACGAATTCCTCGATAAGACGAATTTTTTTTAATCCCCTTGACACTTTCATATAGGTCAATGCTAAAAACACCTCTATACAACGTAGTAATTAATTTAAAAACCTCCATAAGACGAATTTGTTTGTGACATGGGCTAGGACTGATTAACCTCTATACAACGAATATTCTTAGCACAAAACCTCTACAAGACGAACGTGGCCTCTATAAGACGAATTTATCATAATCTTAACCTCCATAGTACGTAGTTTTCAAAACAAACAGAAGCTTGTCTCAACATGAAACCCCCACCCATCCCTCCTCCTTCCTCAGTCATTGTTTGGAAAAACCTTGGAGCGAGGAGAAACCTCTATAAGAAGAATAACATCAGCATTAAACCTCGATAAAACGACCCTCTTTATTAAGAATACCTCTATAGTACGAATTTTTCCCGTACCCCTTGAAATTCGTCTTATAGAGGTTCAACTGTATAGTCTTGGTTTTTTTAAATCTTCATGATTATTCTGCCTAATTTCGATAGTGCCGCGTTATCATGACAGTGATAAATTCTTATTTTTATTTGTTCCACGTTTTCAAAAATTCATTCTTTTTTACTGTGCAATATTGTACTTCTCATACCTTCAAACGGATTGAATTAACCCATAGAGAATTAATTTAGTTTATTTTTTAATAATTTCAGTCTAAATTGTATATTTAAATTGTAAAATGCTCTCGAACGGCTATTTAAAACAAAAAAGGAAATGCAGATTCGATTAACAATAGCAGTAAAATTTACTTATTAAGTATTGGCATATTGATTTTCAAATTTTTTTCCAGACACAGTTTTGTTAGAAAACCTGCAGTCCATCAATGAAGGGAATCAAGTAATACGTTCAACAGAATATACTACCTCAACCAACAGATTATCATGTTTGTTGCCCCGAAGCACTTTTACTATCACCGTTGATCAAAAACCCGAACCAGTGGAATTCAACGTTATTGCGATGTTATACAAGCAAGGTAATAAAGAATATTTGGAAGCATTTGCAACCGATAGCTGTGATGAATTTGTGCGTAACATCAATGCAAATGGTGACCAAATCGAATACCAAGTTTCTCCCGGAAAAGTAGTGAAGGTATTCGGCCATAAAAGTGAACTGAAGGCAAGTCCTGACTTTAAAAAATCACCGTGGGAAAAAAAGAGGTATGCCTTACACGAATTCTTCACGAATTACTTTTGATTATATTAGACCAAATACTCCTTTGGGGTTTACCTTTAGACTTCTTCTACACGCGTACTATCAAAAGCTAATTTCTATAAACATGAATATGAACTAAAAAATGTCGTTACGGTTTTTCAAAACATATTGAATTGGAAACATATTTCTTTGCTTGGTGGTGATTACAGTGTCCAATCGAAATGTATTACCACGTACAATCTTTTATGTGTATTTACCGTCTTGTGAGTAAAAAGTATAAGTGCAATATTTATTACGATTTGCACTTGACGTAATTTTGTACTTTCAGACAAATAACTCAAATGTCACGTTTTTCAGTAAAAAATAATGCAAAATCAGGTGCAGCCCAACCCCCGATTTGGGATGGGCGCTATATAACGTATTAGTGAACATAACAGGGTAGTCAACAAATAACTGTTATTGTGGTATTAGGTTACCTGCTAGAACCCTGTTTTTGAATAACGGTTTCAGTACCTGACTAACTTTGCCTTATTTACACCAAAAACCGTTGTATTTAAGTTATTTTCTATTCGATATTTTTATCTTGATGTCGTTTCATAAGACATTTAAAATGCTAAATATAAAAGTATTCTTAAAATGGTTTACAATACCTACATATAGTAATCCTTTGTTGCTGATTTAGGCTGCCTAAATCAGCAACAAAGGATTACTATATGCAGGTATTGTAAACCATTTTAAGTATAATACAGTAATCCGGAGGCTAAACAACTATTTTTAAAATAAAAGTAATTTTTGAATTTGTTTCTTAAAACTAGCCATTTCTTTTATAAAAGTTTACATGACCACCATTTGAAAATTTTCAAATGTACCAAATTAACTTTTTCCCTAACATGGGTATTTTCAACTATCATACACAAACCAAGTGTCATATAGATTGGTCGAATTACTCCAAAGATAAAAATGTGTGTGCCCAAGAAACAAATTGTGAATATCTGGGTAAATAAACATTTTCTGACGAACCTTCACATTGATTTTTTAGTTTGGTATCAAAATCCATATCCCCAAGTCCTGAAGGGGTTTGTTCAACACCCTGTATACTAACACTGCACTATCTAAATTTTGACTTATTTACTAAAATTATGATTATCAATATCAAATCATAATACTTTAACCATCGGGTATTAAAATTGTGGACAGGATAATCAAATAAAGGGTGTTCCACGTGGAGGTTTAGCTGTTAAATCATAATTTACAAGCCTGTTATACACCAAATGCTGTAAAACTGTTCATAACAAAAAAATTTTGAAATTGTTTTGTAAAAACTCCAGTTCCAAAAAGTTTTGGATGTTTCGTATTAAAAATGTTACCACTAACTACTTGTCTTCCTCTAAAAATTACTTATACTTAAAAATAACTATATGGCTCTTTGAGAACACTCTGTATATTCATTATAAATTTTCTGGTACCACTTAATGTACAGTTCTTTTTACACTCCTTTTCTTAATATCCAATCTTATACAGGGTGAGTATTTTTTCTATTCAATTTTTTTCTACATTTGTTTGAATATCAATCGCAGACCACTTCCAAACATTGTTGGGTAGTAAGTACTTCATTTTGACAAGGTGGTCATTTCCGGCCGCAATCTTGGATCCGCCATATTGGATGCAAAATATTTTTTTCAAATGTAAAGGTGGGGTTGTGACCCATTATTTTGAATAAAATTTTTACCCTGATTACAATGCCACAAACTGTTTAAAAAAATCTTGATTCATTCCAAAGTTATGAGGGCTTTTTAAAACTTTATTTTCAGCCACTTTTTAACGTCGTGCATTTACAAACTAAGACCATAATCTCAAAATAGTGCTAGATAAAGATAAGTATACACCACCAGTTATTGTAAACCTATTTTCTCTTTGTTATGACTGATGTATTTTTTTCGGTCGCCATCTTGGATCTGCCGTTTTGAAATGTGATTTATTATTTTAAATATGAAGAGTGTATTGTGACCCATCATTTCGAACGACTTTTTTAAGCTAAACTCAATGCCGCAATAATTTTTTTGTTATCAAGTTTTATTTATGAGATATTGAATTTTTTTGGTTAAAAGTGTGAATATTTCAAAATCAAAATATGAAAATGAAAAAAGGATCATGGAATTGCGTTCAGCTTAAATAAAGTAATCTGAAATGATGGGTCACAACACCCCCTTCATATTTAAAATAATTTATCATGTTTCAAAATGGCGGATCCGAGATGGCGGCCGAAAATATACATCAGTCATAACCAAGTGAAAATAAGTCGACAATGACTGGTAGTGTATACTTATCTTTATCTAGCACTATTTTGAATTTATGGACCTTATGGTCCTTAGTTTGTAAATGCACAATGTTAAAATTGGCTAAAAATAAAGTTTTTAAAAGCCCTCATAACTTTGGAATGCATCCTGATTTTTTGAAACGGTTTGTGGCATTGTAATCAGGGTAAAAATCTAATTCAAAATAATGGGTCACAACCCCACCTTTCCGTTTGAAAAAAATATTTTGCATCCAATATGGCGGATCCAAGATGGCGGCCAGAAATGACCACCTTGTCAAAATGAAGTACTTACTACCCTACAATGTTTGGAAGTGATCTGGGATTGATATTTGAAAAAAATTAGAAACAGGTTAGGGGGGGGGACATTTAAAACTCACCCTGTATATGAGGTAAAGGTACTTTTAACATTTGTTTATTTTAAATGTTCAAATAACCCCTCATATATAACCCCAATATATTGAGGCTCAACCACTTATTCGGTAATTATAAAAATATAAGTACTTACGCATGTCGGTTTGATTATTTAAACTTGCTTTTAAATATATTTTTTTTTATATCAAAGGTAAAACAGACACTACCTTGCGACAATACCTTGCGTCAACGTTTAAATACATATTACATAACAGTACACAACATGTATTCCTATAAGTAGGAAAGTCCTAGCTTATTTTAAAACGTGTATAATGCTCTGCAAACCTTTGGCAGGCAGCGTATAGTATTTTTGGTAATTTAAGAGTTCTTCCATCTCTATAGCGCATGGATTTAACAATCTACTTTTAAATCGAACCGTCTGTAAAAATAGGAACAACATTTTTTATCTGTCTCTCTTGTAGGTGTGCAGCTATTCTTTATCTCTCTCTCTTGTACGTGTACAGCTATTTTTTTATTTCTCTCTCTTGTAGGTGTACAGCTATTTTTTTGCTCTCTCTCTTTTAGGTGTACAGCTATTTTTTATCTCTCTCTCTCTTGTAGGTATACAGCTATTTTCCATCTCTCTCTTGTAGGCGTACAGCTATTTTTTTTTAGCTACGTTACGTGAACTAATAATTTTATTTGTTTTCAAATGGTAGTCGTTTAGAACCAGCCACAGAGCGGCCGAGCCCATCTCAGCCCCCATCGAAGCCCAGTACTAGTGGAAGAAGTACACGCCCACGGGGTACACCTCAGCACCCTATAGGACAAAGCAGCCTTCCAGTAGGAAGTGGTAAAAGCTTTCCGACCACATCCCAGCCCTAGAAAGCGCAAAAGGAAGTAAATTGTGACTGTCCACGAAAACTCAAGGGGGCAATCTTTATCAGTAGTCGTGAAAGTACATTTCTTTGTAAAACAAAAATTTGAAAAATCATGTATTATAAATGATAAAATTAATAGAAAGATGCTAAATATAATACAGAGTTTGTTTCCCTGACTTCAGAATTGATAATACCTCTCACGTGATTGAGAATATAATTAATTATTATAATTATTCTTTTGCTGATAGTGTACAAATGTAAAGTTTATTTATAAACGTTTGAAATAAACCAAAGTTAGATATAAATATGTCACGGAAAATTTAAATAAACGGTTATGAAAGTGATACGTGAACTACCAATTCGACATACCATATAATTTATCGTTATCATGTTGACTTCTTAATACACTAGAAAAACGGAATTTGAATTCTAGAAATGAAATGATCATCTTTTCTTGGTAAAGTAATAAACAAAACAAAAATATTTATTATCTCGTCTTCCTTGAATAAATTTTCGCAAGGGCAGACCTACAAACACAAAATCATTATAATGGAATTGACTGGAGCTTACACTGACCTGTGCGATGGAGTAGAGTGTTGAAAATTTAATGGTATTCATAATTTTTTTCTCATTCTACTCCGTCACAATAGTCCAATATCAGCTGTTGATAACGCAGACGACAATCCAGAGACCACGTCGGTCCTTTATAACCTGATTCAGTCTACTTACAGTAATTATCGCGGCAATGTACACTCGTGAATTGATAGGCTTATCTGTTATTGTTTCGTGTTTTATGTTTTGTGTTTAATGTTTGTAACAATAATTCTGAAAACACATCAAAAGGTGGATACTTTTTTAAGCCTGACGATGGTGGAGTTGAAGAACCACCGAAACATATTATGTAGCAAGTAAATTTTGACACTACCGTATCTATTAAGGATTGTATGACAAGGAAGGTTATTACTATCATTAGTCATAAAATGCAATCCTGGGGCTATAAACATTAATTATATAACGTCAGGATTTCCATCACCTTATATTTATTTAAGCATGTATGTATAAACATACCCAGAGGTAACTTGCTCTAGAAGAACAAGACTTTCTTTCCAAATCAGCATCAACGTACTGTTGTTCTGGCATTCATTACGAACCAAATTTTCACTTAATGATTTTTGTGTTTCAGTTTTGGGTTAACAATTAACATCATATTTTTATGTGTTTAAATTCAGATCTTTATGTAAACATGTTAAAATAAGAGCCAAAAGTCACTATGTACGAAATGCGTAAGGTCTGCAAACTTCAGAAGATTAATAATTATGACACTTGCTCCACACTATAACTCACAGCAATAAAGTTTTTGACTGAACTTACTCCACAATGAAAACGAGGTCTTACTCTTTAACTATTGATGTTATCTGAAGAGCACCTTAAAACACCTTTTTTCGGTATAACTAATGAAATATACTATTATATAGCTCACAGCTATATACACATACATAATGTTAGATAGTGGCAGGAGCTAGCAGCTCCTTGATCAAAAGGTGGAAAATCCACATCCTAATCCTACATCCTGTTCTACTTTGATCATAAAGACACATCGCATGCACTACATCTGGTTGCAACTCTGTATTGCATTGACTTAAACTAAACGTTTGGTGAGACAGCAAATACGCGCCTCAAATATATGTCATAAAGTTTAACTAAATTTTAACCGATTACATTACGCTTGTTATCGGTTTTAGGCAAGCGTATTCCAATAATAACTGCTAAGAATAAAACAAATTGAGAAGGTTTAATTTTTTTATTAATAATTAGTATCAGAGGACCAATCATTGTTCTTTCGTGTTTATTTTTGGAAGGTGAACGATATGAAACTTATGTATGAATTACAACGGATTGTCTCTTCATGACTAAGAATGAATTGATATAATACTATCAAAAATGTGTAATAAAACTAATTAAATAACAACATGTAATATTAAAATATTGGTACTATTTATACAACAATTGGTACACGATATGTCAAGCCTTTTAATAAATGTAAAAACACGCATTACTAGATTCGAAAAGAAGGATTTCCAAAATTAAATTCACCCTTTGATACCAGCATGACAATGTAATGTGTATAGTTATTATTTTATGACATAGTAAAAGCTATTTTTTTAAATTGTGTGTTAACCCTAAAAGATGGAGATTAATTAATGCTACCTTAGCAGAACACATTAATGAGGCATATATAAAAAATATATATATTTTTGCAAAAAATTGAATTAGTACTGTAAGTTTTAGTGTTAGTATAATATACAAGACCTTCAATAGTTTTTGCCACATTAACAAATGTGGCAAAAACTAGTAATATACTTGTGAACACATTTGTTGATGTTTGGCAAGGAGGACGGCCTTACATGATTTCACATTTCCTCTTCGTACAAACAGAATATACTTGTTTGTTTATCAAAAGAGCATTTTAGAAATGGAGATTTTCTACCATTTTAATTAAATCTTGAAAATTTTCTTTTAATATTGTGCTCAACATTTTAGTGAATGCCGTAAATAGGGAAGAGCTATTACTTTAGCTTTCACCATAAGACCTATACCCTGGGAACATGTTTATTGTTATATCCCAAGAGACTAAAAACACAATGGGATGATTTACTAGCCACTAAATATTTAACTAACTTCTTACACTCTTTGGATACGTCAGAATTACCACTAAACAATTCACACATAAGGTGATTTACTTATAAGGCGGGAATGGTTATCATGCCTAAGAATCTGAACAAACCAAACTTACTTCTTTACTTTTTTTTACTTCCTTAAACCTACCAAACAGAATCGTAGGAATGTTAACCCCCCATTTTCCCCCATTTTGGGTTTGGGAACCAAGTGGCTATTAGGCTTAAAAAGTACTTCATAACATTCAAAAAAGGTGTGTAGAGTTTAGTTTTCCTAGTATGAGCCACTACAAAATTTACAGTGGGTCTTACTTGGAAAGCTGTAAGTTAAATTTAACTTCAGAGTTTCAATTGGCTGCCTTTTTTTACTGGATTGAGATAGAGACCTCTAATTTGCGTTGTTGGTTTTATTTTACCAGGACCTTCAAAATAAGGTGTTACACGGTGGGTCTTTTTATTTGAAATATTTGAGTTTCCCCCAATATCCCCCATTTTGGGAAAGTACACCAAGTGGCGGTTATGCCCAAAAGGTACTTCATAACATGCCTAAAAGGTGTGCCGAGTTTAGTTTTTATAGTATGGGGCGTTAAAAAAACAGGGGGTCTCCACACTTTTACTAACCCTGTATAATATTAGTTTTACATGTGCATTTTATTAAAACTAACACAATTTTTATACTTATAGTACTTTTAGTTCTTAATGCTGTAAGTAATACCTTAAAGTAACAATTTGATCAATTTAGGAAAGTTATACATTTTCATAAAAAACGGGTAAGTTCATCATTTATAGTCCTGAAAAATATGTTGTTTAAGTTCTGAGGATAATGTATACAAGTTATACAAGTGTCGTTTAAGTTCATAAACGTTTTAACAATATAAGAAATACATTACCTTTTGATTAGCAATGTTTATAAATGTAAATGCACTATTAACAAATGTGGTTTTGGCTTAGTTATTTTTCTATACATAATGGTTTGTTAACAAAATATTCGTGAATACAATTATGATGACTGCGTATATTAACCAAACAATGCAATATTTCTATGTATTTTCTATAATGGTATGCACTTGGTAAAACATTTCAATTATAAAATATTTAAACATGTCCAAAAACAACTTCCTTCCCCTTAAGTAAGCTTAAGTGAATGAATGAATGAATTATGAATTTATTCCACCACATATATAAAAATTACACAACCAAATGTACAAAAGAAAAAAGTTCTTTATGCAAAACTAAACTAACTAACTATAACTAATTAACTATATACATGCGTAATAGGTTGTTCCTATCTAATTAGTTCTGGAATTAGCAGACATAGGCTGTGCCTGTGCGTCTGCTAAGTTGCTATAAAGATTATGAAGTTAAAGTGGCGCAATTTAGTTTTATTATTTTGTATGAGTGAAAAATAAAATTAAATGAAAAGTAAAATTAAATGAAAAATTAAATGAATTTCAGCAGTTAAGTAATACTGACTGAGTTATGTAATAAGTGACAGTACTCTACACGAAAAGAACATGCAATAGTAAAGAACATGCAATAAATATCAATATAAGCGTCGGAGAGAGAGCGGCTAGGGTGTGCTGTCAATGTCGAGTCAAAGTCAAGTCAATGATCAAGTGAGTCAAGTCAATGGTCAAGTCAAAGGTCGCGGGCCGATCCCGTCGCGCCGGTAGATGAAGTAATAATAAGATCAGCTTCGTCCGTATTTAAATTAAGTAGCCATTCTTTAACAAGACGTTTAAAAGAGACAATAGATGTGGCGTCAAATAAATTTAATTCAGAATAGTATTTACAAAAATTTCGAAACACTATGTGAGATATATAAAAAGAATTGTTGTTGAAAAAGTGTTGTATACCTGAAGTGTAGTAATGTGGACTTGAGATGAGTATCTTGTGTTATGAGAATGTGAGGTTTCATTAAATATTCTAGTGCAATTCTTGAAAATGTTAATTAGTAAACATTTGATATATAGTTTGCGAACTGTAAGAATTGATGTTTCCTTAAATAGGGCGTCAGACGGAAATCGTTTAGATTTACCAAAACCAATCTTTAAAAGTGACCTATGAGCAATATTTAGAGGTTCCAGCAAACTTTTAAAACATCCTCCCCAGGCTATAATCCCAAATGAGAGCAAAGATTGGACGTAAGCAAAGTAGGCAATTTTAATTTCTTTTAAGGTTAGAATTCCATTCATTTGTCTAAAGGCAAACATGTATTTCCTGACCTTACTCCTTACACTTTGAATATGTTCAGCCCACTTCAGCCGACGGTCGAAAATTACTCCCAAGTATTTATATGAAGCTACCTCTTCAATAGCTTCGCAATTACAAGACAAGTTAAGAAATCACTACAAG